AAAAAAATATAATGTAAGATTAAAATAAATAGCTATATTAAAAGGATGTAACTTTAATTATTTAAAACGTAGCAATAACGCACCCTTACTAAATCTTGGAATTTTTTAACAGGTACCTTATATTATGCTATACTTTTTCACTTTTAATTTGTATAAAAAATTATAAAAATAAATTTTATTTTTAATATTAATATTATGTGAGGTATTTTAATTAAATAATTGATAAAATTAAAATTTTATTTTTTTTATATAAATTATTAATAAAAATATATAATAAATATGTCTTTAATATGTACCTTAAAGATCCATATTAAAAAAATCCTTATATCTTTAATGTTACCTACAGAAGTTTTTTGTTTTGTAAAATGTAAATTTAATGAAGCAGTTCATTATAATACAAGCTGCTAACAATATCCATACACAAAGAATAAATCAGCTATACAAAAATAAATGTTCCCTACAGTTATATGTAAGTAAAGCAGAATGGTTTTGAGAACAAAAGATTAAATTTCCTTGACACAGTCTTCAGTTTGGTTGAGCTTCATCTTCGTTTTGTTCTTCACCTTTAAAATAGCGGTTTTGAGTATAGGGTCCTTCTAATTACTTATCACAAAAATGTCAAATTAAAGATCACATAAATAATTCTTCACAACGACATTATTTTGGGCGATGTTGTTATGATCTGTTTGGGTGGTTGTGACTTGTGACTTTTGTTGTAACAGAGTTGGTTGCTGTAAAATTGTACAAAGTTGCTGAAACTTAATTACTATCATATCAAATGTTTCATAAATATATGGAGGGAGCTTTAGTTTTCAAAACTTTATAATTAGACATTAGACAAGGGTTATAGGAAGCAAAATCATTTAGTATGATTGCCCTTCACTTGAACTGTTCTGCTTAAGATAGTGTTACGACATCAATGCAGATTGTGTTTATTATGTTTAAGAGTAGATTGAAAAGTAACTTAAGAGGTTGTGATATGTAATGACATTTAGGAGAGATTTATGTAAGGATTTTAAAATCAACCTATGGTAAATTAATAGCTTTAGAATTTTGTTTATGCTAAACATATGGAGTAAAAAACTTAAAATCTTGTTTATGCTAAACATATAGAGTAAAAAACTTAAAATTGTAGGGTGCATTGAATCATATTACAAATAATTTACCCAAGATTTCAACTTGATCATTTCAAGTAAATCATGTTGCCTACTGGAATTTTCCTTTAATCTTTCTCCTTCTACCCACTGTAAATTAAGATTGGTTAAAACACCATTGTGGTCTCTCTATTATAACAAAAACTTACTTTTTAGTCTCTCTACTTAAGAAAGCCTCTTTTAGTCTCTAAAGTTTATTATCGGTCCCTTTTGGGTCCCTTTTTGGTCCCTTGCTATTTTTTTGCATGCATGGCACATTAAAATAGAGGGGTTAAAAAGAAGTTTTTTTTTTTTTTTAAGTAGAAGACCTAAAAGGGGTTTTTTTTAAATAGAAGAACTCAAAGGGGTACTTTTTTTTTTATTCATTTTTAGTCTCTCTACTTTGGAATTTTCATTATCTAATGTGTTTTGTCTGTAAAAAGATAACAGAAAAACTAAAAAAGAATCGAATAATAAATTTTAAGGAATAAAAATGAGTTTTCTTAAATAAAAGGGCTAAAAGAGACTTTTTATTAAAATAGAGGAACCAAAATAGCATTTTAACCATTAATATTCGTTGATGTGCCCTTCTACAACCTTAATTGTGTTTTCTTGAAGCTATATATAAGTATAGCTAGAATGGTTTCGAGAGCCCATCAAGCACATTACCTTTTTACTGCTTTCATCCCATACTCCATTTCTGAATATTTTCCATTTCTATGCAACCACAGGAGCCAAACGCAGCTAGCAAAATACCTGCTCTTATCATCTAATTTCTGACGTTTCTCAATTACTTGTTTACCATATTTCCCTGACTCTTCATTTTGGTTTATGATTTTAATCTCATCAATTTCAAAATGAAGATTCTGGGTGAAGGGTCTCTTCAACTTGTCTGTGCATTAGTGATTTTACTGCATATGCAATCTTCCATTGGAATCAGTTCAACAGCTGCTGGTGATGAAGTTAGGTGCATAGAGAGCGAAAGACAAGTGCTTCTGGCATTTAAGCAAGGTCTGGTTGACGAATATGGCAGGCTTTCCTCATGGGGCAGTGAAGAAGAGAGAAAGGATTGTTGCAAATGGGAAGCAGTTCAATGTAGCAACACAACTGGGCACATCATTGTGCTTAATCTAACTACAGCGCATGAGTATGGTTCTTATCCTCATGACTTGAGAGGTAACCTTAGTCCTTCCCTATTTGAGTTGCAGCATTTAACTTATTTAGGCCTTGCTGGAATTGATTTCAACTTTAGTCACATTCCGGAGTCTATCGGCTCCCTCAACAAAATACAACATCTTGATCTCAGTTATTGTCAATTAAGTGGATCTCTTCCTAGCCAGCTTGCAAACCTCACGAGTTTGCAATATCTTGATCTTAGCTCTAATAACTTCAACAATGTCAAAAATCTTGAATGGCTCTCTTATCTTTCTTCTTTGAAACACATTGTTTTGGACGGCAGTGACCTTGGAAAGGTAAATAACTGGCCGCAGCTGATTAATAAACTCCCTCATCTAGCTTACCTGTCTCTAAGGGGATGTAATCTTCAAGATGTCATTCCTAAGTCAATCCCCATGATGAATTCTTCTACTTTTCTCACCGAGCTTGATCTAGGTTACAACAATTTGACTGCCTCCACATTCCACTGGTTGTTTAAATTCATTAAGAGCCTTGTTTCTCTTGCCTTCGACAGTACTCATTTTCAAGGTTTGATTCCAGAGAATCTCGGTCACATGACTTATCTGAAAACCCTATATCTCTCCTACAACCAATTGGAAGGAGGGATTCCCAAATCCTTTGGGAACCTGTGCAATTTAAGGTTACTACACCTATCTAGTAACCATCTTGACGGAATGCTTCCTGAACTCATTGGTAACTTATCTGGTTGTCTACAAGTCTCCTTGGAAGAATTGCATTTGGCTCAAAATAAAATTAAGGGACCCTTGCCTGAAATGATAAAAAACTTCTCGTCACTGCGATTGTTGTCTCTTTCCAGCAATCAACTAACTGGTACTGTGCCCAAATGTATTGGACTCCTGTCAAACCTTGAGGAGATATATATTTCTTTCAATCCTTTGAATGGGACGATCAGTGAATCACACTTTTCAACACTATCTAAGTTACAGTCGTTGGGCATGTCTTCTAGTTCTTTGAGCATCAACTTTAGCAATGACTGGATTCACCCATTCCAGTTGGATTTTATAAGACTTGGGTCGTGCAAGTTGGGCCCAAAGTTTCCAAGTTGGTTAAAGTCCCAGAGAAAATTTTCTTTTCTTGATATCTCTGCAAGTGGGATTTCAGATAGCATCCCAGAGTGGTTTTGGAACCTATCTTCTAGACTAGTTCATGTGAATCTTTCTTCCAACAATATCTATGGAATTTTGCCAGATTTGTCAACAAAATTTTGGTATTCTCATCACCCTGGGATAGATTTGAGTACAAACAAGTTGGAGGGTCCATTGCCAGTATTCCCTGTTAATGTCACATCCATAAACCTATCAAAAAATAGGTTCTCTGGGTTAATTTCTTCTCTTTGTACTATAACTGGCGGGAAACTCTTGTTCCTTGATGTTTCGCACAATCAACTATCTGGAGAGTTTCCTGATTGCATAACACAATGGACAAGTCTAGAGATTCTGAATTTGGCTAATAATCATTTATTTGGGAAAATTCCAAACTCTATTGGATCTTTGTATTATCTTGAATCGTTGGCTTTGCAAAACAACAGTTTCTCCGGAGAAATACCTCAGTCTCTAGGAAATTGCAGTGCCTTGCAATTTCTGGACTTGAATTATAATAACTTCTCTGGGAAAATACCAACCTGGATTGGAGAAAGTCTAAGTTCACTAATTTTCCTTTTTCTGAGATCCAATAATTTCAGTGGAGACATCCCCTTGCAGCTATGCTGGTTGACAGAAATTAAGGTGCTAGACCTCTCCAACAACAATCTATCTGGAAACATACCATGGTGCATCCAGAATCTGACTGCATTAGCTCAAAAGGAGAGTTTAACCATTGATCATTTTTTTGCAGTTCCATATATTAGTAATAATAACTTTTACCCGGCATACTATGTTGACAAAGCATCTGTAATGTGGAAAGGAATGGAGCGTGATTATGAGAATGGAAATCTCGAGAATTTGAGGATTATTGATCTTTCAAGTAACAAATTAACAGGGGAGATTCCAGTCCAGATATCTGTTCTCTTGGAACTGGTTGAATTGAACTTATCAAAAAATCAGTTGACGGGACGGATTCCTTCAAACATTGGGCAGATGAGACAGTTAGAATCACTTGACTTATCATGGAACCAGCTTTCAGGTCAGCTTCCTTGGAGTATCTCCCAATTAAATTTTCTTAGCATCTTGAACCTGTCGTATAACAACTTTTCTGGGAGAATCCCATCTGGACCCCAAATACAAACATTTAATGCTTCTTCATTTGTCGGTAATCCTGCACTCTGTGGGCTTCCTCTAACATCAACTTGCCCGGAAGATGAAAAATCAGAGGGCAAACCAAAAGACAGAGACATAGCTGAATTCTGGAAATGGTTTAAACCGGGTGTGGAACTTGGAGCGGCCGTCGGCTTCGTGGGAGTTCTGGCTGTGAAGTTAGATCATCCATGGAAACATCTCTGTTTCCTGTTGTTCAACAACGTGAAGGTCCGCCTTAGCAACTTGAAGGACTGCCTTTATTTACTTGTAGCAACAGTTGGTTTGCTGGTGAGAGAGCATGTATCCAGATTGGGAAGAAAGTTGAAGTTGTTCGAGCCATCAGTCTCTTTCTAGAGGCCGGTAAAGGTCGATACACATTTATTCTAATTTTGTATTACATCTTCATCACTTGATCATGAAAAAAAAAAAAGAATAACAGAGCAAATAACCTCTTATTTGTTGTTTTTCAGGTTCAAGATGTTTCGTGTTGCAAAGTGAACTTCCAGGATGTCTTCTCCTCTTTCCGGATCGATAAGTCCAAGCTGAGCAGGGCATTGTTTCTTTGTGTCTGGTTGAAATGTCTGTTTAAATTAAATGGTTTGCGCTTGTTTTTCTATCATCTATTTTGTAATAATTTGCTTGAAACTGATATGCAATATGGATTTGTATTCTGTAATTTAACTAAGTTTGTAATCTGGAGACAAACAGAAACTCAGAAAGTTGGTTTGTGTAAACCCTAATTTATAGGTTTAATGTTAATTTTAAAATATTATCTTTAATTAATCAAATGGTCAAGAGACGTAGGGTAGGATTAAAACAATCCAGCCAAACCTCACCCACCTCCTCTGTTCCTCTGCCCAAATGAGCGTTTTCGTATTTCTTCACAAAATTTCCGGGAATGGTCAAGGGATGTAGGACCGGAGATTCGCGTTGCCAATGAAGCGGGTAACCTTTAGTTCTCACTTCCCCTGTTTCTTCATCCCAATAATTTCAATAAACTTGTGGCTTTTCAACTCGCCTTCAGGTTTTTGAGTTAAAATGGCTGCTGGGTTCGCATGGAAGGTAAGCTCTTGTTTTATCTGTGTGGTAGGTATGTGCTGCTTCTGTTTATTTTTCGAGTTTGATATTTCAATGGAAACAACGATGCAAGCAAATCACTTCAAGTGAATTGTGTAATTAGAAAATAATAATGAATTATTTGCTTGTTCCTTTAATCTTTAGAGAATCCAATTACTAACGTGGATAATCAAGTAGCTGCCATGCCTTTTTTTTGTCTTCCATTTCTTTTGCACACAGCAACCATTTTTGGTGCTACGTGTAACAGTCATGCCAGTAACAAGGGCAAGTTACAGTACTATAAAATGGGTTTTGATTTTGTTTGTGCAATTCCATATATATTTTTTCTGATAGGTTTTTGATTTAAGGGGTTGCTGTTTACAACCGAAGTTTAAGTGTTTTCTTAGAGCATTTTCGATGGGTTTTGACAACTTTGCATCAAATCAATGCTTCCTGCAAACAACATCTATAAATGAATGCATTAGTCTTCTAATACTAATTTGATGTTTGCTTTGGCCTAACGATGTGATTCATTCTTGAAAAAAGAGAATGTTGATTCATTTAATTCTGTCTGACTTCTATTCTTAAGAGGAGCAGGCAAGGCAATACACCAATGCTCTAACAGTAATTCATTTCCCTTTTTATCTTTATATATCTTTTATTCTTCTGCATTTGATGGTAATTCTGCTCTATATAAGTGCCCTCCAAAACGAATATGTCAGGGAGATGAAAAACACACAGACGGTGGTGGCAAAGAAAATCATGATGACCTAGATTAATTCTGGAAAGGGTTTAACACAGTATGGAACTTGTAATGGCCTTTGGCTCTCTGGGAGTTCTTTCTTAAAAATTGGATCAGCCACTTTGTTTACTGGTGCAGTGAATGCTGCCAGATTGCAAAGAAAGTTGAAGTCTTAAGAGCCAAAGTCACTCTTTGCCTCTGAGCCTGGAAAAGCTGGTATGGTTAAGTTCGTTTATGCTATCTTCTTGTTCAAGTGCATTACTTCAGTTTGAATATGTTTCTTCACACTTCAAGGACTCAACTTCTCCATTCTGTATTGCTAGTGTTAAGTATTAACAAATAACAAATCAAACCTGAGTAGGTTATTTCTTTCTTTCTTTCTTTCTTTCTTTCTTTCTCTGTGTAATAAATCAATGTATATTTGTCTGTGTGGTTTGCATCTTCTATTATAAGGAGCTAATTGCAGCTTCTTGCTCTGAAACTGAGATAGGATTACTATCTGAATTCTATTGGATTAAATTCAATTTTCTTTTTAACAGTCATTTTCCCTTCTTTTAAATGAATTCACAATTTAATATTTGTATAATTTTAACTTAAAATTTCACAATCTAATGCTGTTTGTTCCAGTTGTAACAATTTAGATGTTTCTTCATAAAAGGCCATAGAGAAGGATTCAGAGATTCAACCTCCGATTTGTGGCCTCTTTGATTCGGATGGGCTTCCTTCAACCATGTCCGAGCTACATTTCCTCAGTGCCTTAGAGCTGTCATATAATAACTCTTTTGGGAAAATTCGATCAAGCACCTAATTGCAGAGCTTTAGTGCATCTGCTTCTTTTTTTTCTTTTCTTTTTTTTTTGGGTAATTCTGCACTCTGTGGACCTTCTCCAGCACCAACATGCTCTGGTGAAGAAAGACCTACAGATGGTGGTTCCAGTACAATCAAGACGATGAAGATGAATTTTGGAAAGAATTTAAACCCAGTATGGAACTTGGAATGATGGCTTTTGGCTTTCTGGGAGCTTTGGCTTTAAACTTGGATCATCCAGGGAAACATGCTTGCTTCTTGTTTTTTGACTTTGACTACATGAAGATCTGCCTCAGTAACTTGAAGGCAGTACTTTGTCTGGTGGTAACAGTTAGTGCTACCAGATTGCAAGAACGTTCAACTTGCTACCCTGGAGCCCAAGGAAGAGGGTATGTTTTAAGTTTGTTTATAACGTTGTCATCTTGTTCAGGTGAACTACATACTTCATTGAAAATAACAGACAAGTCACCTCTGCTTTGCTTTTCAGGTGCTTCTTCAGAATTCAAGGACTTGATGTTCTCTTGTGAAGTGAAATTCCAAGGTAAGTTTTTTTATCTCAGGGAAAAAAGAGTAAAATTCCAGGCTTTCTTTAGCTATTACAGTCCTCAAGACCAGCTTTTTATTTCCTCTTTTGTGTGCTAAATTATGCTTTATGTGTGTTTTATTGTATCACTTTGTGTTTCCCTTGTTTTTATTCCACCATCTAGTTTGTAAAGAATCAAGAACAAGCGAGTTGCAACAGAAATAAGGCTGGAATCTGCCCTTACTCTTATCGACATATTTTAGTTTATAGAATAGTTATACTTTAATCAAATTATAAAAATGAGATAAATTAGATAGAAATCATGCTAATGATATATATATATATATATATATTTTATTTCTGATTTGAGGAGCTCTTGCTTATAATTGCAATCAAAGGTCAGTCTTCTTTTCTTTTTTGCATTTTCAATAACTTCAATAGAATGCTTCCAGGAAACAAGATTTCCAAAGTTGGTTAATAGGTCAACAAGTCAATGGTCTTCATTTCTTTAACTTGATCATGTTTCAGAGGCTCAGTGTTGAATTCTGCTCCTCCAGCCTGACTTTTTGTTAAAATTCATCAAACTGGTATCTTTCTTTAATCTTCTCCCTACATCAAATGTCTTTCCTTTTTGTTTCACAAAATATTAAATTTCCTTGACACAATTTTCACTTTGGTTCAGTTTGATCTTGATTTTGTTCATATGACTTTCAAAAAGAATGGTTTCGGGTATAAAGGGTCCTTTGTAATTGTCACAGAATCAATGTCAAGAAAAGATCATATAAATTATTCGTCACATGTTGTTTTGGACAACATTTAGTCTCACTAGTGTTATTTTCTTCAATAAAAACTCCAAATAATTACACTCCCTCTTGATGAGATTTTTACCCTTAACAACTTCATAACATGTTTAGTCTCACTGTATGTATGTTTTGATGGAATTTGGAACCAAGCATTTAGATTACTAAAATTACCTCCTTAAATTTGAACTCACTCTTTCTTCCTAAATAATCAGGATACTTCAGGGAAAAACTGATTTTAAACTAATTGGACTGAAACGAACTCTGCACACTTACATGAATTCCTTCACTTGGCTGATGCCCATTACATTATATTCTCTTATTTCTCCAGTTCCCTCAACGTTCCTTACAATGCTTGCACTGCTCCATTTGCTACATGATCAAAATGACATGAGAGTGACGCTAGCAAATGGAAACGATGATAAATTAAGTAGAAAAGTACTGTTATAGAGAGTGAAAGACAAAGCACTCCTCAACTTTAAACAAGGTCTAATTGATGACCAGTTCTTGTCGAATTTATGGTTCACTTATGTTTCCTTTTGACATCTGTTCATTGCGTTCTGTTGTAGCTGTTCATATAAGTAGAAGGGTTCCAAAACTCAGACAGCAAAACCAAATGGTTAAGTTTCCATAATTTTTCTTTGGCACTCTTCATTTTTGTTCAGCTTGATCTTGATTTTGTTATTTTCACTCAAAAAATTATGGTTTTGGATAGAGGGAACTCTCTGCTTTTCTTTTTAATTGTGATTTTACTGCAGATTAGAAGTGCTGTTGGACTCAATTCAACAGCTGGAGATCATGAAGTTAGGGGCATGGAGAGGGAAAGACAAGTACTTCTTGCATTTAAGCAAGTTTTGGTTGATGACTATGGTGTGCTTTCCTCCTGGGGAAGTGAAGAAGAGAAAAGGGATTGCTGCAAATGGAGAGGAGTTCAGTGTAGCAAAGCTACTGGGCACGTAATTGAGCTTTCTCTTCAGGATTGCTCTTTAAGAGGTAAGCAATGTCCCTTCCTGTTTGAGTTGCAGAGTTTTAACTTTTTTGTACGTTAGTTGGATTGGCTTTAATTTTAACTGCATTCCAAAATCTATCATTTCACTTTAACCAACTAAAAAATATCTTGATCCCTCTTCTTGTGGTTTTGGTTTAGGTGGACATCTTCTCAGTCAGTTAGAGAACCTCACAAGTCTGCAACTCAATCTTAGACATAATTACTTCAACAGTATGGAAAATATTGAGTGGCTTTCCCATCTTTCTTCTTTGAAATACCTTGATATGAGTACAATCAACCTTCGTAAGGTTAATAACGGGCTGCAAGTGGTTAACAAGCTCCCTTATGTAACCAACCTGTGGCTAGATTTCTGTAATCTTCTAGATGTTGTTCCTCAGTCCTTCCCCAGGGTTAGTAATTTGACATCCCTTGCTGTCCTTGACCTAAGCAGTAATAATTTGATTACATTCACATTCCAGTGGCTGTTCAATTTCAGCTTAAGCAACAGCTTAGTCCTACTCAGGTAGAAATGTGTTTCAAGGTCCGATTCCAGAAACTTTCAGTCTCATGACTTCTTTGGAATACCTATATCTCAAGGAAAATCAATTTGTAGGGATTCCAAAATCCTTTGGGAACATGTGCAAATTAAGGCTTTTACACTTGTCTGGTTATCTGGGGCTGGGGGGAATGCTTCATGAACTCATAGGCAACTTATCTGGATGTTTGCAGCTATCAGTGGAAGATCTGGCTTTAGATAATGGTGGAATTGGGGAAGTCCTATCTGATCCGATAACAAACTTCTCATTGTTGAGAGAGTTGTCCCTTGGAAGTAATAATCTGAGTGGTACTGTGACCAAAAATATCAGGCTCCTTTCAAATCTTGCGTCATTTGATCTTTCTTTCAATTCTTTTGATGGGGTGATCACTGAAGAATACTTCTCAACACAATTTGAGTTTGGAACTTTGGACCTGTCTTCTA